ACAGACAAACTTCGACCATGTGTACCTAGCTGTGGCGTTTACATGAAGCTTGCTGGTACTGTCTATTACTACTCCCTCGCCGCAAGCTACGCTACAAACGATGCTAGCTCGATGATTAAAAAAACAAACCGGTAAAGACCAATTGGACCATCTGACTTGAAGACCTTCACCAAACAATCAGTGAGCCCTTGGAACTCTCGACCAGTTCCTTTTCCGATGTCAACAGCCAGCCTAGTTCCTGTAAACGATAAGGTGTCATCATGACGAAATAATAGCTACACGATCTTGCAGTGGGGCTCCTGCTGAGAGTAATACAAATCATCCAGCTGACCATTTTCGACTTTCCCTCAAATCAAGCAAATGCCCTTGTAGCCAAATTTCCTCGAATCGCACAAGACAGCCTCACTAGGCTCATGTTTCGGTATTTTCTCCCTCGCTATCTTGTTGTGTAAACGCACACCTGGCGCTGATTAGTTCCCCACACCTTATGTCGGGAAAGGTCTTCTTTCATATTCTTATTCTATATTTTCTTTCAGGGAAACCTACTATAATTACAGGAAAAGCCTGCTGTAAGGTAGAATCAAAATAGATTAAAAAGCAACGAATCACTTACGAGCAAAATCGAGTGGATATACGAAACAAAGAGATGTTGCACCAGCAGCTCCTCCCGATGCGAGATTACCGGCAAAGAACTTCCAGAAGTCCTTCTTTTTGTCAACACTGGAATGTTTTTTTTGTCAACAGGAATGTTTTTTATAAAAAGCCAGTATTCTGAATCAACGAAAACCTTAAAATTCAAAACAAGAGCTTACCCTTTCAAAAACATCACGTTATACGTGTCTTTAAAGGCGAAGTTGAGCGCCTGTGTCGGGAAATATCTCAACACGTTTGCCAAATTTCCTCTCCACAGAGAGAAAAAGCCTTGTTCCTTTGGAACACGAACCAACACATCGATAATACCTTTGTACCGTTTGTCGGCCGAAATTGTTTTTGAGGCATCTTGTACCTGAAAAAGGAATGAACTTTCTTCAAATCATCACTTTAGAATGAAGGATCTGACAGGTGGAAGCAAATAATGTTCCAGCGTCTCAATGTTGTGCTGTCTCACAGCCAGATCGTCATCTCAATGCTTGTACAATACAATGAGGTACCAAAATTATTCTTAAGGGGCTCAAAATACGCAGAAGCTCAAAAGTTTCTAACACTTCACGTTTGTTTCGGTGCGTAATACGCGTCATATCGACGTTATTGGACCAACGTGTCGTATGACGGTGACAGGGCACATGTCAAAGGGAAATGCTCTCGCTGCAAGGGTACAGAAGTATTTCCTCATGGCATCTACTAGTCTAAGAGTCGAACGGAGAAGGCAAATGAGCGGAGGACGATAGGAAGGAAGGAAGGAAGGAAAAGAAGGGAGGGAGAAAAAAAGGAAGGCTTCGCGGTTGGCAAGTATCCCGAGATGGCCGTATGACGACGTATCGCACTTGGCCCATCATCGTCTGGGCTAGGGAAAACTGCATGGCCAACCACGACTTGCTGAAGACGAGGAGATCACGTCCCAGAAGAAACATATGTACTTCAGGAGAGCCCTCCAGCAAAGGCCTACCACATCACGCTAACTAGGTGAGAGAGTACAGGAGGAGGGTGACATGTTCTGACCTTGGCTAAGCCATACTGGAATAAGCTACGCTGCTTGCTGAGTGGGTACGGACGAGAAAACATGAGAAGGCATCGCTCGCTAAAGGGTCCCACATACGACCAGCCTCTTGGAAGCAGTGCTTTCCTGAGTCTTTTTGTGCAAGATGAATAGAGTGAAGAAAGCTTCCGGAAAGAAAAACCCTGCGAACTCCCACCAGAAGATCGCTTCGCAAATTCAGTGTGGATTTGAGCTCAGCAGCACAAGACACGTACATCGCTACGTACTTCACTGCAAAAGTCTGGACTGACCTGTTCACTTTCTTGTAAGCCTAAGCCCTCAAGCTGATTCATGGAGGGGACAGGGCGATTGCGTAGTCGTAGTCCATGACATGTTAGTTGAACTACATATTCCGGGTAACGATCAGAGTACATCCTATGTTAGGGAATTCTCAGCGGTGGGAGGGTGGTAGGAAGCTTGGAAAAGTTAGCAAGGGAGGCTACTCAATAATCAGAATGGGGAAGGAAGTTGGAGCGAGAACGAAATCGGGGGGGGGGGGTCGTATTTCCCGAAAATCTCCCCAGCAACAGGACGTGTTCTGAGAAGGGGTAAACACATCACAACTGCGTATAAACATTCGTTATTAAAGCGCCAAGTGTTGAAAGGTTCAATTCCTATTCGAGACGTCAATTTCTCGCCTGCAATACGGTGCATTATCGACATTCAGCACAACGGCAGCTCGTCAGTGCACTAGTGTCGACTACAAACAAATGTTCCACCCCTGATAACAGGATTACACTGGCAGTGCAAGAGCAACGCGGTGCCTGCCAGAAGCTAGTAAGTAAGCAACCATTGCTCTTTGTTCAGCACGGACACCCCCCCCCCCTTTTAAGCGCGTTGTGGACACCGCATAAGTGAGCCATCTAGGCTAATCGACGAATCGACGAACATATGCAAGAAAGCTACACACTTGCGCCAATTTGCGGTGGAACGCATCGCAAGGAAATTTTAGTGGCGCACAAGGGGAGGAAAGGCGTTTGCTTACAAAGTAATCGACGCGTATTAAAGAACTGGCGCATAGTGGCTGATCTAATTAGAATGCAATTTTTTTGGCTCATTAGGCAAATGATTCGCAGATCTATCAAGCCCTAACTGCTGAATGAAACTGCGTTCAAGATGAGCTGGGAAAACATGTAGTGCTCATATGGCTCGAAACACAAGCAGCCAGCCGGCTACATTACGTAGAGTCGTGGTGTGGGGTTCCTCTGCACTTTCCGAACTGCATGCGGCCGACTGGTGCACCCGGCTACAGTAATGCTGCTCTGACAGCTCAGCCCGAGCGTTGCGTCCTCTGTGTCGTCACCAATGCGTACACCAATGACGTGGCTCTGTCACTCCTCGGCATTCCTACAACAGTGCTATGTGATATTTTGAAGCCTAATACCGCGATCTCGTGCGATGTAGCGGCCCAACGAACGAGGACGGAAATCAGCCGGCCAGTTGTTAGCGACCTCAACCCTATTTCGGAATTCAAGCCTCCAAATGCATTCGTAGAGATAAGGCAGAAAGTAAAGTTCAGGAAATAATCTACCCTACCTTATCGGTAACTACACGGGGAAGCAAAAGAAAAGCACTTTACTGAAGGCGCAGACCATCGAAGTTTAAGTTTAACAGAGCGACATGGTTCAAGGAAGACTCAAGGTAATCAATTCCTGGGAGACGGTAAAGAGGATCGTAATTCGCCGCACCGCCACGCGCGGCGATGGGCGCGGCGTTTTCATAACTCGTTTTAACCTGTCGAATGAGCACCGGACTTCATGTAGACCCCGTCATCGTAGACAGTCATTACTGTTTTCGGTCCTTAATTGCATGTTGTCGCCATCTACTACCTGGAACCATCGTCCTTTGCAGGCGAGACGTCGCACGCGACGCCCAGCAGCGCGGCGAATTACGATCCTCTTGTCACATACCCTCAATTCCTCGGATGTGCCTCAGAAAGCGTGTGGAAGCCCTTAACCGTCGCGTGGAAGGTCCACCATCGCCATCAATCTCAGATTCACAGTATAAGCCCAACTTGAGCAGCTACATAATTCAGAGTTGTTAGCCTTGCACCCAGGTTCCTGGTGACCAGCGCTCTGGTGTCAACAAACCAGCCGTCTAGCTGTTTGGATAACCTCGATGTCTTTCATGATTCATCCTTACAAGTCAAGTTGATCATCAGGCGCTCCATACCAGCCATGCCAGTTTGGGAGATCCTGAAGATACAAAGAATGAGAAGGGTGTCTCACGAAAACGTCTAAAATCTCATTTCTCCCGGCCGAATTCTCATTCCCTCTCATACTGTCGTTCCTTGCGAGACTAGTTTTTGGGGAAGTACCAGTGATCTTTAGGAGGGGTGAAACGAACCACCTAACTGTTTCTATTGGTTTCTTTGGTTTTTTCCTGGGAATGCGTTCCATGAGGTCTTTCTGACTGCCACCTTGCCCATCAAGAATGGCGCATCAAAGAGCGGATGATCAACAACTACTTCAAAATATTTACATGTACTAACGTTTTGGCTGACGCGGGGGTTATGTAGAAAACGAGAAGATACCTATACCTATGTTGCTAGTACAGTGGTATCATAAATTCTTCACTGGGCGCCATAGCCAAAATAAAAGGCCATAATATCTGCCCACAGAAAATGGGGTACTACTGAGAAGACCCGTTCCATAGGGAAAATGTTGAGGGTAAGTCACTAAGAGGATGCCTGCGTTCAAAGGAATCCCTATGCTGCAAAAGACAGAATGGTGGCACGGAATATGAAGACCTTTGCCTGAGCCTATGAGGGAATCATCACCGGCACGGCACCAAAAAACCAACACAAACGGTACCAAACTCTTCCCAGGATATCTGCCAACCGCGTAACCCTCACCCTTCCCTCCCTTTCCCCTTCCCTTTTTTCCTCCCTTCGAATGCTCGCCACAAATGCTGAGGAAAACACTTCTGGAACCTCGCGGAGAGCACATCCGGTTGACGGAAACCCTGTAACCGTGAATACCCCCTTGGCCGTTCTACAACGAGCTGGAACCAGAAGTAAGAAAGGTCATAACTAGATGATCAGTTCCAAACAAACCTGTAGTAACAGCTTCACTCTTTCGATAGGAGCGACGGCAGTTTTCGATATAGCGGCTGCTGTACCACCGGTGAGAAGGTCGACGGTGAACTTCTTGATGTCAACAGTTTTCCTCTCCTTCTTACCGCCACTTTCACTCTTGCTGCCACCCTCAGTCATAGCGCACGTACGAATGAAAGCCGCTTTAACCCAACTTCCTGAAAAACAGATTTTGCACGATAACACACCAGAACACGATCGCAACCGTCTCGAATCGAATTCAACACGTTAAGCGTTCGGTTAAGGAGCTAACTATGCAAAAATAAATTTTCAGAAATCTGAAGGGACATCCAGCTGGATCCCCTCCGACGGGGACAACGCCACCGACGAGATCGATAGAGTAGCGATGACTCAGACAACACGGGTCGCACTTGAAAAAAAAACGGGCGGTGCGCACAGCGCGTGTTGCGTGCGGTCCTTCGATTGGAGCGCGAATTCTACGCCAGGAAGGCAACTAGGTCATTCTTCCTCAGAACCAGTCCTACTAAACCCATTTCTTGGTCTGAGAGTAAGGTGTGCTGCGATCTTCTGCTGCTAACCTAAACCTGGCTGTGAAGAGGGAAAAGTCTGTGGTTCACGCTACAGCTCAATTTGGTGCTTAGTTAATGTATACCCAAATTAGTGCCAAAAATTGCTTCAAGCGTTATTGGATTCCTAATTTTTGTTTTCAGTAGTTGACTGGCTAATTAATAATACGCACTTAATGCCCCCTCGCTTAGTTAAAAAACTACGAAGAACCCAGAATGGTCAAAGGTGCGCTCCCGGCTCCTCCAAATTGCTGGATCGTGGATGGTCACTAGGTCCGCTTCTGGACTCTCAACCAGCGTTGTGTCGCGCGCGGCGGGCAGAAACCGGTAGTATCGCTAATTGCGCTGAATGCCCCGAATAAGGGACCCAGTGACGCTGGCCAGCACTGATTCGGGTCGGGAACTTGCAATGAAAAATCAAGTAATGAGAAGAATCGGGGGAAAAGTCGTTGGTTAATTCCAACGCGGGAGGAGTGGTGGGCAATCGCGTTACGCGCAAGAAGAGAGTCTGAAAGTGCATGTCGATCGATTGAGAGAGCCGGCAAGGTGCGACTCTCTGGCGCCTCGCTTTCGCGATTCTTCGGAAACCAGGAAAGCGATGAGTCTGGCAGATCAACTTCCCAATCAATACCTATCCGCTCCTTTTGTCCGATTCTCCAAGACCACAAGCTACGAATAATGCTTAATAGATTTGCAAGGAACAAGGAAATAATCGACGTTGTTTGCAAAAAACGGCAGTATTGAACAGGCAACCGAGCACGATCTCACCAAAACAACATGTTTATGAAAAAGCACGTGTGTGAGTGCGTGTGATAAGTACTGCAAAACACTGCAACGTTGAGGAAGACATGCTCCTAAAGGTCCTGGGTAGTGGTTGTGGTAAAAGGTTAATATTTAAATTGGCCGCGCCCTGGTAGACTGCTCTAAGAAATTGAACGAGAACTGAACTTGAGAAATTGAAAAAAGGTCATTTAAAGGGGCGCTTTCTGACCGTCTGGCACTCTCACAAAGCAACACTGTGTCCTCGCGTTCCGGTGCGCTGCACTTTAGCGTTCGTCGTATGACGGACTTCTGCCTGGGATAAGTTGATGTCACAAGTATCATACATTCCACGTACTTGCCATATTAGTGACTGCAATAGCCCATCCTCTATAGATGACCTTCTTGCCTGATGGTTAGTTTGGCGCTACTCCATTAAAGGCACGGTCTGCGATAAAAAGCCCAGGTGATTTTGCAGAAATGTGGAAGAAATTCGCCAAGTGAACCATCTATGAAGAGAAAATGCCAAAGGGAACGTTGGAAACGCATTCGTCAGGCCTCCTCTAGCCTCAAACAACTGTAGAGGTAAAAGACCGAAAAGACCGCGCTGGGACATTCCCGTCGGCTGATTCCCAGTAATGAACCCTATGACTCTACAAGAGACATTGAATGCATCCACTCCATGATACTTGCCCGGGAGCATTACTTTTGGCTGGAAGGCCGACTTTGGAGGCGGAGTCACTGGAAAAAGGGATGTACCACTGAAGCAACTTTGCGCCTTAATCCCTTTTACCGTACAACTTTCCGCCGCGAAACTGGCACAGGGTTGTCCACTCCGGACCGCACTACCTTCCCACATAACCTCTTGCATTTTCATAGGTCATCGCGGACCGCTCCTTTAA